GGTAACCTTTCCTGTAATGGAGTCTTTTGTGAGGTTTCAGGTACCAGTGTTAGAGCTGGCTTCAACTTAGATTTCCAGTATGGAGCAAATTAAGAATCCGTCTTCGTTACTGTAGGAGAACGGTAAGAATTTGCAACATATGGCGCCATTGTGATCTGGTTGCGTAACAAGGTCCTTATGTATGTTGATTTCAGTACCAAATTTATGCGCTTTTGTAGAGCTTTTCAAATGCCCTAATCAATTTTTGACGAATAGCAGAAAATGGTTGTTGTGGTATATCTGGCATAACTTACGAAAATGCGTTAGGCCCCGGACAGACTTCACGCGATTTGATCGTCGCGACTCAATCGCCGACATTTCCATTCATTTTCATTTCACATTTAAAAATTTCGGGCTGGAAAAGTGTCACAACCGAAATGCAAGTTGATCGGCATGGAATGATGTTTAAAAACAGTTGTTTCGTAGCGATTCAGTCGCGACGATCAAATCGCGTGAAGTCTGTCCGGGGCCTTACCGTGAAATGCCAAACTCACGTTTGGAATCATCAACTCTCATCAACCTAGTGTAGGAGCTTTCAGCTTCTTTGGTTTTCTTTTGGAAGTAAAATATGACCCTTATTTCTTACAGCCCTCCTCAAAGTTCCTACAGTAATTGTACATCAACGAAGAGGGATTTTTGATTCGCGCCATACTGTAAGTCTAAGTTGAAGCCAGCTCTATGCAGTGGTACCCAAAACTTCTTGAAAGACCTCATTGCAAGAGATTTATAAACAATCAAACAGTATGCACATCTTTCTGGGACACCCTGTATATATGGTGTTTCAGAAATATGCAAACACTATTTAATCGTTAATATCTCTCTTTCTTGAGTCTTTTTCCTACCTTTAGGTACCATTTTGTAGAGCTAGCTCCAACTTAGATCCACAATGTGGAGCGAATTATCTATCGCTTTTCATTGCTGTAGGATCACAGTGGAAACTTCAAGAAGGGTTTGGAGCCATTTAGGGCCTAGTTCGCTACAGAAAGCAAATTAGACAACCTGAAACTTTACAATGAGCTAATTAGTGTCGCTGAAACCAAATAGAAACTTCGCAATTTACCACAATGCTTCTTTGATGACTTATGCCAGGTGAACCGCAATAGTTGTTTTTACAATGTTCCCTATAATTGTGATTATACCATTTGATGAGCTTTCTCCTAAGAAGTTGAGTTATGAAATCAGCGGTGTAAAAACCCTAAAACATCACTTTTCAAAATTTTTGAAAACTTTTGAAAAACAGCTAATACAACGAATACAAGTCAAGAGTTCCTACCGTAATCCTACAATAATGAAGAGCGACCAGTGTTTTGTAAGATACCGTAAATCTAACAAAGGAGGGCACGAGATCGAAGTGGACGATCATCACAAACTGCGTATCATTAATGAAAGTTTGAAGCGCGGAGTTCAAATCTGCTCTCCCTCTCTGCAGAGCGCTTCTGGAACAGAAGTTACGAGCACGTATAGAGTCGAAAAATGAACCAATGGCTGTGATAAACTCGATCGCTGCAGCCTCTTTAAGCCTTAAAAGCAGGGCAAATATGAGGATAGTTCATGCAATAAAATCTTTTGTTCAGCATTCCAGTACTTCCAGTTTCTCTACTTGACGTCTAAAAGGCTTTAACAATTGATTTTAACCCGACCATCAATTCATTTTTCACCTCAAAAAAGGCTCATAACTTCTTTCGCAATGGCGCTCTGCAGATAAAAAACAGATTTCGAATCGGCGTTCCAAGTATACTTCGGTTCTAATCGAATAGAAATTCGATCATTCGAATAAAAGGAGCGAATACATTCGCATTCGAAATTCGATATTCGGGGATTCTCCATTTTCGAACAATAATCGAAACTTCATTGATCAAAACTTGAACAAAACAAACGAAGGTTTCGAATAAAGTTCGAAAAGAATAAAAAAACGAGGATTCGAATAAAATTCGAAGACTCGAATAATCACAAAACGGGGTTTCGAATCATTTTTTATTGGAATGTTTTATTCGAAGAACTCCATATTCAAGTTATTCGAGTTTGTTGCAAAGCTAACTGTATCAAGCTATAGAATCAAATGTCAAATAACAAGTTACTCGCTTCGTCTGCGTTTCTTTTTCGCAAAACTCAGTAATGCTTCTTTTTGCAATCGTGATGACTTTGAACTGTATGGAAACTCGCATTCCTCCGGCTGCTTGCGAGGGTAAAACAGGTGTGATTTTAGTTGATGCTTTTTCGAGTAATGAGATATTTCGCACTGCTATTGACATCGAATGAGCAAGAAAAACAGCTATCAAATTCAAGCTCATGTTCCGAGTTCATATATTGGAACGTTGACATGCCTGTTTCTCTTCTTTTGCGTTGCGCTCTTGGTACGCAAAAGTCCACACTAGTGAGTAATCTTGCTTGTAAAACTCGTGTTCACAACTGTCTCTAGTCTTTATCTTAGAGATCTTTCGCGAAGTGGTGTATCTTGCGTAAAGGACATCGCGGCTGTAGAGAGGATTAGACGGCTGCTGAATTTTGCAGTTATATCACCTTGCAGTAAAATTTTGTTCAGTTGAAGCAAATAATAGTTTCAGAGGCTTGTAGACATTTTAACACCGGGAGCTATCGGCCTATCAACTATGGTAGAGTCTAAATCCTGGCGAAGAAGGTCCATATTGAAAAATACGATCTTTGATTATGCAGGCCCTGCACATACTTCACGCGATAGTCGTACGTAATTTGCCAGTTTCAAGATGTCTTCAAGGCCACCTTACCTCGTATAGCATGTATAGATTTCTGAATAGATAATAATCTAATCTACTTTATCGATTCAACTGATTTTTGGATCATCCTGAGCTATGAGTTGGTATAGGAGATATGAGGATGCTGATTATGATTAAATCGGCTTTAGCCGGGTATGTCTGCAACTTTTAAAAATGTTTGCTCTAGTTATTTGATAAATAATTCGAATATCTATTCAATCCAACACTCAATGTTCGAATATAATCATTCATATTCACTCGACATTTTAATTTTCAAATTTTATTCGAATTCATTCATTCGAGAAAAATCAACTAGTTTGATCACGCAATCTAAAACCGGATTTTTTCTAACGAAATTAACCGAGCTGAAGAATTTGGAGGAGTTGGCCTACTTTATCCTCATGAACTTACAAATATTCAGCTCTACCCTTTGCAAGCAAATTTCCATTGCTATTGTCACATGAGACTTACAAGTACAAACTAACTCCCCCCCCCTCAAAATTAGCCCCCTCCCCTTTTTGTTTCACCTGGTCATCTCCTGGAGACGTCGCAAGTAATATGCGAGCGCATGAGTCCAAAAAGTTTTCTCGAAATGTTCATAAGCCTTGTTTAAGGCGAAGCGAAAACGATATGACCAATTTTTCCCCTCTTCCGCCTAATTAGCTTCCCAAGATTTTGAATGGCGCTGGCAATCCTGTTCCAAGCTCCGGACACATCATGCAGCCCATTCGGAGAATACGAACATCACAAATTTCTTTTATCGTCCGTCATGTTGTTTTTATATTTTGCCCTATTCTCCCTTGCTATTTATATTTTCCCCTAAGAGGGTAGCATAAGGGACGCCTGTTCTTGTTGCAAACTCAACGGAGATTTGATCTGCAAAAAATCTCCAGCGCGCAAAGCACCCTGCGTACAAGCCCCACTACTCCTAATGATACAGGATGATACACTGTCTGGCAAAACTGGCTCAGTCATTCAATGCATACTTTTAAAGGAAAATGCTAACACCGAAAAGGCAATTTTTGTAGCGAGAAGCTTACTCAGAAATTTTAGCTTACTTTTATAACTTTTCAGATTTGTTTTACGAAGTAATTAAGAAACCATATCAAATTTATGAAAGCTGAAAGAAATAAAGTATTCAGCTACTATCTGAAGCAACTTGTTTTCCTCTTCCTGGCGTTACTTTTTCTTCAGAGTAATTCAAAATTTTAAAGAATGTTGCCTTGATTCATATTTATACAACTTTACGATCTACAATCCCAGTTATTACACAAGACAGTAAATGCTTATCTAGTTGTTGATTTCAGTCTAGAATTGTGACCTTCTAGTTTTGAAGTTTTCTTAATGTAGACGGAATTATATTTACGCTGTCTCTTCAGAAACTCACGATATTTTCAGACCAAGCATTGCATTGCAATCTCCATGCCCTAACTGCTGCCTACCGGAAACTCTCCAAACCCCTGAGGTAGGTGATTTACAAGTTAGCTAAAGTTGAACGGTTTAAGATTGAAAATGAGAAAGAAATTCTACATCATATGCTATTTGAAGGGTGGTTCAGTTTCGGATATGTCAAAATGATAGTAATTCTTAATCGACCAACTTCCAAAAATGAAGGTTACATTGGTACACAATAATGCAAAATATCGAAGACAATTTCTTATCATTCAAATCAAGAATGTTGTATCACGATCGAAAACATACTAATTCACACCCCTCTTGTGGCAAGGGCAAGACTTCAATATTACGATGCACATAAAAAGTTTGCAAGCTTTACGCTCTGAAATGATAAGGACGGTAGGCGAGCTCGATGGCATCAAGAGAGCAAACTTTTTCCAAGAGCAATCTCGAGTTTCATTGCTCTTGTTTGTGACCAAATGACCAAACTCCATTACTATAAAATGTACATTCTAATTTTCGCCATTCGCAAACGTGTGTAAGAAACTGATTAGAATTTGTTTTAAATTGAAAGAGCACTGCTCGTCGACGTCCTAGTAGGTAAACGAGAAACTGCTGCGAATCTTGGTTGTAGTCGAAAACTACGAAAGTTTTACGAAGATTTCTGACTACCTAATTAGCTCAAGAGCAACAATTGCTTTTTTCAAAAATGTAAAACATTCATGAAAAAAGTTTAACTTCTATTTATTTTTCGCTAAGTATTAAGCTGCATGCTTAGCTTGAGATCAGGAGTTGCTTTTCAGCAAATATAGCTTCGAATTGTTTATTTGTAGCTTATTTATCAAGTTCTTTTAGCAATTTTTCCAGAATCCTTGTATACAACGGCCGCAGTAGTTCAAGACCGACGGGAGTAAGGTGTCTGTTGTCTGAGATTCGTGCAAGAAAGGTCTCTGGATCGTAGGTGAGGAAGGTGCCATTTTGAAATAGTCCCTGAAATGCTTGACACAAACGGCTGCAAGTCAAATGTTGACTTCGTTTGATAAATGATGTCCCATATGGCAATTTGGCACGTTTTGATTTTTAGCTATATTGCATTCCGACTTGTTTCGCCTTCGATGTCGCATAGGGGCCACAGAATTATAAACTCAATAAATAGCTGAGTACAGGTCTCCGCTTTGCTAAAAGTGAACGTCAGAGCCCAGCTTATGTCCTGATATAGTAAATGCGATATGTGACAGAACATTAATTTGACTAGTTAGCGGAAATGACTACTTATTAGCATAATGCGGGTAATTCTTCTCTGCGAACATGTTGGTAGTAATGGTACTAATGAAATGTTTATGAACGTTGCTAGATTCTGAGCTACTGCTATCCTTTGTTTATGGCTTATTAGTTGAACCAGGCAAAGGAGGGGAGGGGGGGGAAAGGAGGGAAGTTGTACGAAGTGCGGGTAGAATATCAAAACATGCTATGTATGAAATTTGAGACTGCTGTTACATGCGGAGTTGTGGAAATTAATGTAAATAGAGAAAAAACTATTTTTAAACATAATTAAGCATGCGACACTGATGTTCAACTGTGGGTGGCGTATCTACCAAATCACACGTTTCACCTGTATGAAAGCTGAGTGTTTGGTACTTACTCTATGTGTGTATAGTTACAGTTACAGTCACATAATACATAATCTGTTAGAGATGAAGCGAAGCGAGCGTGCTGATAACGAAGTAGTTCTGAATTTGCACTAAATGTTTTTACCTATTTGGTCAATACTTTACAAGCACTAAGCCAAACGCTAACACTTGAAATAGGCGAGAGGTAATCATGCTCATCACGATATAGACATTGACGTTCATCGATTGCAGGCTAGCTTTGAGCTGGAATGCTGGAAAGTATATGGATAAATGGATCTCATCTGTAAATGAAGCCCAACTTTTTGAATGAAGCTGAATGTGTGTGTGTGTGTGTGTGCGTGTGTGTGTGTGTGTGTGTGTGTGTGTGTGTGTGTGTGTGTGTGCGTGTGTGTGCGTGTGTGTGCGTGTGTGTGCGTGTGTGTGCGTGTGTGTGTGTGTGTGTGTGTGTGTGTGTGTGTGTGTGTGTGTGTGTGTGTGTGTGTGTGTGTGTGTGTGTGTGTGTGTGTGTGTGTGTGTGTGTGTGTGTGTGTGTGTGTGTGTGTGTGTGTGTGTGTGTGTGTGTGTGTGTGTGTGTGTGTGTGTGTGTGTGTGTGTGTGTGTGTGTGTGTGTGTGTGTGTGTGTGTGTGTGTGTGTGTGTGTGTGTGTGTGTGTGTGTGTGTGTGTGTGTGTGTGTGTGTGTGTGTGTGTGTGTGTGTGTGTGTGTGTGTGTGTGTGTGTGTGTGTGTGTGTGTGTGTGTGTGTGTGTGTGTGTGGCTACCTTTCGTCATTGAATGATATCAATTTTATCAATTTTTTGCAATTTTTGCAAATTTTCACCTGCAAGGTTGGTTGGAAGCTGGCAACGCGGAGGGGAGGGAAAAAGGTAAGCGACCATGCTGAATAAGAAAAGGATTGACAATGCCAAGCGAAGTCGAGTTGCGAAATAGTAAATCCATTATGTCTCACTGTATCTCGGCGTTGACTGCATTCATGTGGAAAACTCGAAGTGTAAAAAAATTAGCGGATGATGTGAAGGCTTACAAAAGCCTGCAAGTTGAAGATAAGACATGCTCTCTGCAACAATCTTTGCATCATGACTTTCTAAGTATCATGTCGTTTTTGTCTCTCTCTCTCTGTTATCTTTATAAGAAGAAAATGATTTGAACGAATACCAGATAACGCCCCTCTCTTAACACGTTTCAAAGCCACCTCACTATCTTTATCTGGTTGTATATATATATACTTTTATACTTTAAAGTGCCTGATGCAATACCCAATCTTTTCTGTAATGTATGCATAAGTTACGGGTATAATGCCGTTCTTCACACTCTTACGACAACTGATACCTCCAGGGCCTGTAGTAAACTTCCCTTGGGTCGTGACGGCTCGCTTTGAGCGCGGCAAATGTCCGTCTCATACCTCTTGCTGCGTCCCTATGATAAGGGATTTTCGACGTGCGGATTCATATGTCCGGCGTAATGCCGCGGCAACGCGGCCTGCGAGACGGCAACACCAGCGTGCGCGTCATGCAGACAATTAGGAAACAGTGAGTTTCGAGTGAAAACGCAGAGAAGTCGTGATGCCGACGCATGACTAACGGTCAAGTATGTCCGGGGTGGTGGTGCCGCCCGCTGTCCGTAGATACAGCAGAGGATCGAAGTGTCAAACACAATCAAACAGTTGATAACGGGCTATTCCGAGGCGCACAGCTACTCCTTTTTTCTGCTAATGACACATTCACGACAATACGACCCACCGGTGGGACGTACGTGTACTGCCATTTCGGACATACGACACATCTCTGAGTTCGTACTACTAAGCACTGCAGATTTACGATGGAAGTATATGAGATGTCTGCACATATTTAGAGGCATCTAAGGGAAGCCTAAATAGAAGACCATTCGGATTATACGACCATCGGAATAGAAAAAAACACAAGAAAGTTAATACCAATGGGTCGTACGTCCGAATTGGCAGAACTCGATAAACGGCCGTGTTTAAAGGCAGCGTACACCCAAAATCTAAGTTGCCTAATTTTCTAGATTTTTCTACACCGTGTATATACTGGGCCCAGAAGAAGACCAACTGCGTTGGTCCGGTCTCCCAATGTTGCTTCTGAGCGGAGAAAACCCCCCTCAATTTTCTTTCACGCCGCCCCTTTTCTTTCGCTCCGCCTCCTCCGGACGAATCCATAACAGCGTAAGCTGCAATTGCAGTTGCAGTTGCTGTTGCAACATCTGTTGCATTTGTTTTGGGTGTACGCTGCCTTTAAAGGTGTTAATTCTTCTGTTATTTGCTATGGAACCTAGGTAAGGTAACTTGATTTCGATCAACAAGCACTTTCAAATCTTCTCAAGCCAAATTTCCTGTTGGTTTCCTTACCAAACCTTGTTCACACTGCTTTCGCTCTTGATTATCTCCTGCGGATACAGGCGGCAAGACCTTTTATTCCTCCTGCACCACCTCCTTTGTATCTTTGTCCAAAAAGGATAAAAGGGGTTACGGATTAAACTAAATTGGCAGACCTCATGTATGGAATAGGGCTTGTGTTAGTAAGACTTTTTGTGCGGGACACACAGATTGCCCCTATTGATTAATTGATGTTTTTGCGATTTGCGTAATATCCGTTGCTTATCTTGTTAGAATGTTGAAGCAAAGTGACTAACAAAACCGAAACTGTTTCTCGGCTTTTCTTTCAGCGCAAGTTATAAAAAGTAATCCGGGCAAAATGACAAATTTTTTGCAAATTTTCACATCTCTGCACTGTAGGATGAAACGGCAGCGAACTTACACTAATCTGAGTCGACTGTTTACGCCTATCAGTGAAAATCGAGGTCTACTTGCCCAATAGCTTTATGGTTTGCAGAAAATAAAAAGCTGTACAGCAGATAATTTGGAAAGAAACAGCTTGTTCATCCACCTCTGTGCTAAGGATTCTCCGAGTTGTACGTGGGACATAGATTACTCAAAGTAAGATAAAAGTCAGCATTGGTATGCTCACTACACTTGGTTCCTATTCCTCCTCGAAGTCACAAGCCATAACTTGGAGCAGGGATCAAGAGTACGCAGTAATTGCGTTGTGATGCGTGAAATTACTTCACTGTTTTTTCTTATATATCATCTAGTCTTCTTTTTCATTTTACTGAAGTCCCAATCATTGACGGACCAGTTCTTTGTGCGGGTGACGTAGAATGTAGCAGCCCATTCTGGTGCAGTCTTAGCGCGGTCTAAAACCGTCTCGACATTGAAGTCTTGTATAATCCAACATATCAAGCATGATTAGAGGAGTGGTATGAAAACTCAATGATAGTATCATAGTCTTTGACTTATTCTTTGAACTTGGATCATTTGTAGACTGATTCTATTGTCTGATTCATGCACACGTTAAGCAAACCGCATATTAATCCATCTTTGATTACTGAATGAGCATTGATTCCGAATTTTTAGGCATATCTAAACGAAGCTAGTGAGAAACTACAAATTTCAAAATATGTATAGGAATGTTAATGCAATTATGCGCACTGGGAGCAAAGCAGCCGTCACTCAAAAATCTTGTGACTGCTTGATTTTGGTCACTGTAAAATCGGCTGAGAAAGGGACGTTGCTTCAGCATTGGTTTCTTCTGCTGCGTCATAGAATTTCCACAAACTGCAAATTCGTAAGGTAAGGTTCAGTAACGTTTTTTTACGACATTGGGAAGAGCTTGCAATAACATTTTGATTTAGCAGCTTACTCGAACTTATGGCTATGTACTTTTGCTTACCTGACTAACATCGTTGATAATGCATTTTGTGCACACTAGTGAGCTTATACGTTTTCTTTTATATTGCGTTTGTTTGATATAGTCCTGAATTGGAATTTACTGAGAAAAAACGAAATGCAAGATAGCATACCTTCCAGGTCCCCACAAACTCGTTACCAAGAGGAAGGCCAAGTTGAAGCTTCCTCGCAAGAACTGCGGCAATACCAAAATTATGGTGATAATATGGCATATCAATAACTATATATCTCGCGTAACTGCTTAATCAGAATGTACTAGTAAAGATTATGAACTATTGCAGAGTAAGAATGCCTTCGTATTGAGAGGCAAAAAAGCATGAAATAATGGTTTGCGCTCATGCTTTGATATCCGAAGAAATAGATGCGCAGGTAGGGCTCTGCACAAGAAAGGCTTAAAGTTGCTTTATGTTCAACCAATTTCGCTTCTTTAAATACTCAGATTGCCCGGCTTCACGTGACGTGCGGGCCCCAGCACAGAAGTTTCCATCGGTCCTTGTCCCTCGCTTCAAACACTCGCGATCTTCTTTGCTGACGTCGGTGGCTGCGTTCAAGAGTTCCAGGTGCAAAAATCGTATCCAGCTGATTTCTCAGCTGGTCCATCCGTTCCACGGACACGTCTGCCCATCTCGTTGGAGGTCTTCCTCGGGGACATTTGGCTTGCGAGGAATTACTATGTTCTTAGTGTCCATCTGCCTCTGTTCTTCTCATGATGTGACCGGCCCATCGGTGTTTCGCTTTCGCAACGTATTCCGCTGGGTCACGAAGACAAGACATTTTTCTCATATCCGTACTGCGAAGTCCGACAAGATATTGCTTGTGTCGGGTCATCTTTAAAAGACTACGCTCTGGCGCTCTGTGGCTGGTCCCTAAAGCCGTCGACGTGGCTACGGTGTCAGCCCAAGTCTCAGCTGCGTAACAGAGCGCCGGAAGAACGGTTGAGTCGGAACAGGTGGCACGAAGCTCAGGGTCCGTCAGTTGGTCGGTGGGTTCCTTCAGAGGCCCGAGGGCGGTCCAGGCTGCTCTTCTTCTCCTGTTAAGTTCTTCCCTCGAGTCGTTCTTCATGTTCATTGAACGTCCAAGTATACGTAAGAAGACGTTTCCATAATAGAAGTGCCTTCCAATTCTATTTCTGCATCTTCGCACGTTTACTGATGTCAAAAGAGGTGCAACCGATACAGTTGTGAAAAGTTAAATGAATTTAGATTTAAAGAAAGAATAAGAACGGAAGAAAGCAAACGATAAAAGGTATGGCTCACAGCGGGACGTCAGCGGAGATACACGAGTTATTACAGTTTAACCAAAGACTGGGAAAAATGTTTATAGGAGTAATCTTGGTAGATTGGGATGCGTAGATAGGATCAAGGTTTGGCTGGAGTTAAACATTATATTTGGAAAGGTGAAATATAACTTTGACTGGAAGTGACCAATACATTCTTTCCATAATATGGATGCTTCATCTTGCACATTTTGGTGTCTAGCTTGTAACAGGTAGGCACGAAATTGTGGTAACCCTGGGAAGGCCAATCTTGGTTGAGACGCGAGAAGCATAAAGGATTTTCCAACGTCAAATAAACATCCATCGAAAGAGCTTAATTTACCCCGTAGATTGGTAAAAGCTAAGTGGAGTGTTTGCACTACAGAAGAACATCTCAAAGCGCAATGAACCCAAAGCATTTTGAACCATCTGAGAAAAGTAGCGCTCCTCTTTTTGAGCTACACTGGTTTCACCGTGCAGTGCAGCGCATATGTCAGACCGCAGTAAAGCTGATTCAGTTCAGGTAAAGTGAACTGAGGCCCTCATCCGAGATTTGGTAAGATAGAATGACTACCATCACCTCCCTATGCTGTAAGAATGCAAAATGAAATCTCAGCTGACCGTCCGTCTATCCTGACAAGTTCGTCTACCTTATTAAAATCAGTTCCATTCATTTAGACGACCAATTGACTTGAATAATGTGTAAATGATGATACGCAGAAAAACTTTCCGTAAGTTACGCCTGAGTAACTTACAATACACGTCAGTTTAACATGTTCAAGGAATGCTGAGTGAGGAGTCACGTGCCTGACGATATCTTACAAGTGGATTTCCGCCGCTTATACTAATCACTTAGATGGGAATGTTTGGCGAAAACGTTTTGACTCGTATAGAACTTGCATGGACGTGGCGCTCTAAATCGTATCATCGTGAATGGTTGGCCTCATTAATCACTCGACTGGGGGCAAGCGGGCTCGTCGAAGCTTCAAGTGAAATTTTATTCAGTTGAAATCGAATGAGGCAGCGTTACTGCGGGCCTATATTATTGTTACTTCGCAAAAAATTTGAGCGAATTGCAGTCTTGTCTGGAAAAAGAAGCAGGGTTTAAGGTGTTCCGTATAATTATGAACCGCTTGAGAATCGCATTCGGCGCAAAAACCTTTTCAAGAGTGATATTTGATCGTCATTTTTGTCGGGTATAGTGTTTTTAACCATGCTTCTCCAAATAATACAAGGGTTTTTTGATTTTCAAAAAAGGTTCCGAATCTCCCAAATGTGGGTTTATACAATCATGAACCGCACTTCAATTTAGCTATTGAACTCTGGCAAGTCCACGTTAGAGAGGATATCTGTCACTGTTCCAACAAATGTACAGGGCTTATCAAACGAAGAGTCGCTTGCATTAGCATCTCCACTCCCGCGCTGGACTCTGAGTCTCTCCAGCGAACATGCTCTCTAAACACTTCGAATCGATTGAGGCTCCGCCTTTCCCACGCTCTCCCTGGGAAAGTGATCAGAGAGCATGTTCGCGAAAGAGAAACAGAGTCCAGCGCGGGAGTGGAGATGCTGATGCAAGCGACACTGCGTTTGATAAGCCCTGTATTTGTGGGGCTGCACAATACACACGCTCTTAGACATTGCCGAAGAGTAGGTGGGCATTGCATAAAAATGGCGTGGCGAACTGCACTCCGTTTTCATGAGTCTAACAACCTCGTCACAGCATCTTGGCGTTTATTCACTTTTCGCCCCAATTTTTTTCCAGAAAAATCGTTGTTTTTTGTCGACGCAAATAATCAACAAATGCCCTTTGGCCGTCGTTTCATAAAAAGACAGCGAGGTGTGAGAAACCAGTAACCTATTTCTCTTGCTGCCTGCTTATTTTCAACAATTAACTGATTTGAAGAAGAACGCATTGTGAAGGAAAGCTTCATGTCTCAGTGACTTAATGATCTGAATTTTTCGTTGCATATGTTCATGAATATTTCGCAAAGGCTGCTGAAAATCTAAGGCAATAGTGTAGATATATTTTCAGGGGTAGATGAATTGTTAATTTCAAATATATGTTCATTATCTGCCAATCGACTACCTTAAGGAGTTATGAACGTTCAAATGTGGAAAATTTTTGAGTTTTGACGGATACATTTCCTTGTAAAGCAGCCTCATTGCGCGGATTTACAGTGGCTATGGTTAATTTAATAACAAAGAAGAAGCACATTTAACAAAAAATCAAGTAAGTCTTTTTGAAACTTATTTCGTGGAATATGCGCTACAGAACACTTTACAATTCGCACATTCGAACGCCCATAACTCCTTCCAGATAGTCTGGGCATTATTGAACGATCTCAGCACAATTCTGCGAAGGTAATGTGTTTACGAAAGCACTGAATTGAAACAAATTATGTTTGTGAACAGACCAACTAAAACAACTAACCAACCAACATGAACACGACAGGATAGGGAAAAACTAATGGGGAACAGCGTTACTGGTGTGTGAAAGAACGCAGACGTCTAGTATATCTTTTTGCATTTTGGTTTCTGGTTACCACAATTTCACGCATATAGAACGCGCATATTTTCTTCTAAAATCGAACAGCAAAGACACGTCGAAGGACTTCGCGACCAGAAAACTATTTACAGTGCTGCGTATAGCCTGAAGATATCGTGTGGCATAAGTCGCGTTTTTCGAACCACAACGAGCCGGCTGAGCAGCGCGCTTGAAAATAAAATTGCGTCTTACACGCGTGAATCAGGGTAATTTCTGGTAGCAGTTACAATGGCAAATTCTGTAAAGATAAGATTTCCGTTACTAGCATGGGCACCTTAACTTCTATTTCTTTCTTTTTGCCATCCCAGGAAGTTAGACACACGCGGCAGCTTTAGGATAAGGCTGGAATCTCCAGATGCTATCTTTTCTTTTGAATATGTAATCTAATACTTTGAATTTAAAGTCACTACTCAAAAAGAGTTTGTTAGGTACACAATGGCAGGCCAACAAAGCGACATGGTAGCTATTCCGCAAAATTTCAATTGTCGATTCACTGAAATGCTTGGATAAGGAAAATGAAAATGTAGAGCTGGAGTAAAATGGAAAGATTTTTTTTATATGTTAGTAACTTTCTGCTTTTATTGGTGAGTATGCAAAACATAATAACTATTTTTGCTTCCACCATCATACCTTATCTCTATAATATGAAGTCAGGGCATGCGCTATTCTCTCTAGGTACGGTCAGAGTCTTTTCGAGCATTTTTCGCATAAAAGCTTCGGTTAATTTCTGAGTAAACTCTACTGGTTTATTTTGCGCACCTGATAAAATCGATGTTGTTTTGGTATTGGTTATAGATCGAATCTGTTTTGAGATTTTCGATGGGCTCATTACCATGCCTGAAAAAATTTTTAATTGCAAACAACAGAAGCAATTGACTACCAACTCACAGAAGCTCGTGAATGTTCAATACAATATCAGGTTTTTCGTGTTGTACCACTTTTCTCATCGCTTCCGCAAACGAAGGGCACCAATTCAATATGGCAGGACATTCTAATTCACAACAAGTAGCGTCATAGCAGATTCTTTTGTAAACCTACTGCTCCTTGCAAAGAGGCGGAGTTTGCGGTATCGTCCTTTGAGAACATTGTGAATTAGTGGAAATGCCCGGCGTGCGAGGGAGTTTCCTATTATCATAATATTGGCATTGCCATTTCCATTCTAAAGAGAAAAACTTAACCTGACGATTCTGCTCCCTACCTTTCTTGAAAAAGATAATTTGAAACAATTTCCTTGAGCAATACACTTCTTCCTCCCCCCCTCCCCCTCTACAAATCTCAGTCCCTTGCTTTGCACAGTTGGAAACTGAAGCAAAAAAAACTAAACACAACATCGCATCGACGAGCGGCAGCTTTATAATTATTTGCATATGTGCACCTTCGATAGTATAGAAGGATGGATCAAGTAAACCAGAAGTTCGTAGAGCCTCATAGAATAGCAAGGCCTAGTTTGCGCAACCATTTCTTGCTTCTCAAGAGTAATGAAAAATTCACCATTCGCTACTCACTGTCTTCAAAAGCCGTTTGAAATTCACCCTCTACCCAAACTGAGAATGGAGATGATGCTGTATAATAGCTGGACCCCTAACTGAGTACGTTCAATTCCGTTGCAAAAGATGAAATCCGTAGTGACAACATCGTTTCAAGGTGAAGCGGTCAAGTGCTTAGTACATCAATGTAGGCCTCTGGATATGAAGAGCCTGAAGTTGGCTTTAGGGTGGATAAGGATGTCAAAGATCCAATAATTTTGAAAAGGCGGATTTTTGATTTATGGATACAATAAAGCTAAATTATGGTTCCTTATTTTCAAACCACATACGTTGATAGGCGAACCGCCTTAGCTGCTTATACCTTTGATTTGGACCAGACTGCACTGCGTAAGACCTACACATGCGAGCACGTGCATAAAAATATGAGGCGTACGCCGCGTAGGCCACTTAGTTTGGCATTCATCTTCTGCAGCAGAACTTAAGCGATTACTTGGTCAGGAGCTTAGCTTTACACATCGTCGAAATTTCACGTCCTCAATATGAATACACTGTGCTTTTAAGGCAACAAGCGCGCCAGCACTCACCGCAACGCAGAGCCATTGATTACCTCCTTCAAACTTGGCATAAAGCTGAGTGTCATCCTCACCACACGGTAGATGAATGACGTGACTCAATTGCCTCATATTCCATTCGATTGCAAACTCGATTTCTGCAATGGCAATAAATTATCTCTTTCTGGAACATGAGACCGAGGTTGACTCGACTTGAGATATTTGGATCGATGCTTTCTAATGGTGGAGCATAGACGTAGATGTCTTTAGTACCAACGACCCATGCATAGCATGCAATAACACATGTCAAAGCAGGCAAGACACCTTTTTCGATAAAATACTTCTAAAATAGGCGTATATTTAAAGGCAGCGTCCAGGCAGATCTGGACCTATGGGGCTTTTACGTGGAAAGTACTTTTGGGGCCCTAATTAACGCACTGCCCAAGCGGCAGCTCAGGTAGTGCTGTAATGGCTGAGATATTCCCCTCGAAACTGGACCCCGCGACCGTGTTTCGCATGGATTCATGGCGTAAAGCGTGGATCCTGGCGCGAAACTGCCATGAATCCATGCGAATACGTTCGCGGGGGCCAGTTTCGAGGAGAATATCTAGCCATTAGAGCACTACCTGAAGTGCCGCTTGGGCAGTGCCTTAGTTAGGGTCCCAAAAGTACTCTCCACGTAAAAACCCCATAGGTCCAGATCTGCCTGGACGCTGCCTTTAAGTACACTATACTGATTTTGCTGAAAAAATTTTTTTACATACTTCAAGCGTGTGACGGACTACAAATGAAATCGTAAAACTGACAAGAATCACAATGAGGATATCTGGAAAAAACATTTAAGCCTGATAACATTCTTCGATTTTCTATGAGTATAAGTTTTTCCCTGAAAAGAGAATTACAATCAAAAGCTTGTAAGTATTGAGCTGCAGGATTCTGTCACATTTTTTTGATTCTTAGAAATGTCGGACGCTTTCGAATGATTTCACGTTCACGGCACGTAGGCAGGGTCAAAAGGTCTACTTATCGGAACCATCGCTCCGCAAAACGCGCGCAAAACTCTCTCTTTGTAGCTGAAATCCGTTTTGATTTCATTTTTTTTGCAAATTAATTGGCTTTTATTCTAGGTGATGAGCGAGAGACTGGACGATATGGTGATCAGGCATGCCATATGTCTGTGTATCATATAATCATGTCTGTGTCATCCCCCTTGCGGTCAGCAAGGGGGATGACACAGACATGATTGCACACGTTCAGGTGAGTGGTTCAAATGCCAGTGTGCGCCATGCGATGATCGACAGTCCAAAAACGTCCTAAAAACGTTTCTAAGCTTTCTGTATTCATTTCCACACGATGCACGGAAAAGGAAGATTCAGAAAAGTTTTTAGATTCTTCGTTTTACACTCTTCGTTTTCAAAACGCTACTCTGACTTCATTGCGTACCAGCGGCGTACCTGAATGGGCTGGCAAACCAGCGGCGTCCTATGTTTTGCTAGTGTACCAGCGGCACTTCATAATTCGAGCTAGCAGCGGCATACCGCCGTTTGGGCAGGTAATGTTCTATTACACGCTTTGTAATTACCCCACGCTGTGAGCGCAAGGTACCCGGATGAATTATGACGCAATGGTGGGCTGCCTCAACTTTTACGTGACTGGTTAACACTTCTAAGTGCTTGGCAAAGAGTAACATTGAGTTGCTGTCCTTACAGAGTTGGTCTGATAGTCTCAACCGAGTGTTGTAGGGACCGCGATCTTTGATTTCAATTCGATGAAGTCTATCGAACGAAGTAGTAGGAATTTTACTTTCATTTTAGCCCGATGAAATTTACCAGATCAGCAACTATAAATCAGTTGAGTTACAACAGTTCCAAGTAACCAAGAATCGGGTAAAATTGCGGTCCTTTACAAACGCGTATCTTCTTGGCGTATGCGTATCTTCTTTCGTACCAGCGGCGTACCATTCTCCTTCTAGGGGAGTTCCATAGCGTACGAGCGGCGTGCACTGCCCTAACAGCGGCGTTTGCGGGGGTGGAGGAATTATCTCAATTAGGCAACGCCTCCTCCGGACTATTGGTCCCAACACGATACACGACAGTAGGACGGAAAGACCAGCAGTCCGCGGAGGCGGTGCCTAATTGAGGTGTCCGTTCCTCTACCAGCATTTGCGTGTTCCGCTCAGATGAGCACCGAACCCTCCTGATACGCAACGATAGTTTAAGGGGAACCGAGTGCCTCCAGTAAGAGACTGTGTCAAAAGAAGTTCAAAAAATTATAGAAGAGAAAAGGCATAGTTGTATGCAGAGAAAATCACCAGAGAAAACTGAAAAATTGATTGCGTACACAAATGCCGTAAATTTGCTGGTCGTTTGTTTATTTGCGTCAACAATCATGCTGGTGGATACCTGCTATGTCTTAAAAGCAGCGGCTCGGCAGATTGACCTACCTCAGATTTTGACACAGGTGGACAGGAGGCCCTCCAAGTGAACCAAAACAGCAATCCGCGCCGAAAATGTGAACTCTGCAAGCTAGGGGGGACGGCCCAAGCGCTGCTCCCCTTCCTTCTTTCGCTCTCCTAACACCTTGTTCGGACGAGTATGTTCTTCGCTAGAAAACGCGCCGTCACTCATAGCTTCGTAGGGCAGAATTTTTCTAGTGCTCTCTACCTCCTTACTCTCCGACGGCAGAGAAAAACGGCTCACTCATCCGCGCCCGTCTTTCTAAAAACGGGGTTTTCCCCCATTTTCGCGCTAAAGGGGAGTTCATATTAGGGGGCCGAAATAGCCCTGAATCTGCCAAAACCCCGAAGTTGAAAATCTGCCGAGCCGCTGCCTTCGAGCCCCAAATTTGGAGTTTTCAGGAAGCTTCTGGAATTTCATAATTTAGGAAAAAGTGTAGCAGCAATCATCCCATAGTCTGATAGCACACACAAGATTCCTTCTCGCTTTCACGTCTGCTGTAGAAAATATACGCGGCCTACCGTACCAACGTGTAAATAGCTCAAATAAGACTTCGACAAGGTTCGCGCTTACGTCTGCACTTTGATCCAATTTTTAGTCTCACTTTTGGAATTGATCTTGCATAGTCCGTGTATTTAAAAAAGAAAACCGTTCTAATAGCAATCCTTAAAAGGTTCTCCATACAACAGCGATGAATGCATGCTTTCTTTAGTGGAGTGATAAAGTAAATTAAGGGAAAGCTCCTATAAAAACGAGTTACTTCGAACCTCTTCTTGATAGTCAAAAACGCATCCAGTTCTAATTGTAGTCCAATAATCGAGTAGGCTAAGATTTCAACTTCTCAGATAATCGCCGGGGGCGGGCGGTCCGCAAACTCGCGCTTTTCTGCAAGCGGTCAGCAAAATTTTGGAGCGCGGCCAAACCTTCAGCGAGCGGTACTTCCCTATTCTGCCAGCGGGCAGCAATACAGAATTTTCTGCAAGCGCTCGTCAAATAATTTCTTTCAGCGAGCGCTGACCAAACTTTCAGCAAGCGCTCGGACTCCTTTCATGCACTTTTGTGCGTACGCCGAGCTAAGGTAAGACTCTACCTGGCAGAGGTGTCTTCGATGGTTTTATTACCCAAGTTTGGGGTACTTTCTCTCAGCGGAAAGTACCTGAGGGCTGTGCGGTCCTCCACAAAGGACCGCGCGGCCCCCATTAAATTTTGCATATTCTCGCGGAAAGTCCGCGAGAATGCGGCCAATGCGCCGCAACTAATCCATAAGAAAACCGCGACACTTCTCCGAGCATTTGTCAAAAAATTGAACAATATTCTTCCAAATTTCTGCAGGCGGAGCGCAAGAAATCAGCGAACTATCTTTCCGGTGCCCGCTTGCCCAAAAATCGCATGGCCGCCTGCCCCCGGCGATTATCTGAGTTTGTATGCGAATACGAAGAGTGACCAGTTGAAT